GACAGGAGCAATGCTGTGTTCCCGAGCCCCCTGTGGGCCTAATCATGGCTCAGACTTGAGCTCTGTCCCTGGCAAAGGACACTGAGGGGAAGAGGGGCAGGGAGGACCTGGAGTAGCCCTGCAGAGGCACCCAAGGCTCCCACTGCAGGCAGCACTGTTGGGAAATTCTCTCTTAGGCCCCTGAGCAGGGGTTTTGAGGCTGAGGTGTGGTATGTGGGGCCAAGACCAAGGATTGATGGATACTAGAGAGCAGTGTGTCCTCAGAGGGTCAGCCCTGGGATACAGACACTGCCACGGCTGGCCCAGTGTACCTCCCCCAATGGAGGAAGGGTGAGGCCCTCACCACTGGGTCTCACTGGGCCCTTGAGCTCAGCCACACTCTGGGTTTGCCCCAGGTACTGTGCAGTTCTGTGCTGAAGGTTTCAAAATTTCTGTGCATGGGGAAGGAGACAGCAGGAGAAGGGGAAGGGAGGATGAAGGGTCCAAGACCTAATCCCTAACTTTGGAAAGGTGTCATCCTTATCAAGGAAGTGGATGAGGACATCTGTGGCTCTAACACTAGTCAAGAGCCAAGTGAATTTCATAGGAAGAGGTTCCCTGGAAGGGGGCAAAGCAAGGGTAGAAGACGCTATGAGAAGCTCTTAGGAGGTTGAGGTGGTCCTGGCTGGATGAATTCTGGCAGGCAAAATGGGGTTGGGGGCTGGGTGAAAGAATGAGTGGTAATCCAGAGATCAGAACAGCTGGAGCAAAGGTGCAGAAGAAAGGGAGTGTGGTCAAGTTTAGGGAGGAATAAGGCTGAACTTGGCCAGGAGGTACTTAGGCTTGGTGAGCTTGGAAACGCTTTTGCCATTCTGCCCAGTCTCCAACCCTTTCTCTACCCAAAGTAGAAGGCCTCCAAGTCAAAATCAAACCAGAGGCCGGGTGCAGTGGCTCACGCCTGTCATCCCAGCACTTTGGGAGGCTGAGGCAGGTGGACCACTTGAGGCCAGGAGTTTGAGACCAGCCCGGACAACATGGCAAAACCCCCGTCTCTACTAAAAATACAAAAATTAGCCGGGCATGGTGGCACACCCCTGTAATCCCAACTACTCAGGAGGCTGAGGCAGGAGAATAACTTGAATCCAGGAGGCAGAGGTTGCAGTGAGCTGAGATAGCACCATGGCACTCCAGCTTGGGTGACAGAGTGAGACTCCATCTCAAAAAAAAAACCAACCAACCACAAGAAAAATCAAAACCAAACCAGATACAAGGCAGCAGAGGTATCATGATGCAGGGGAAAGAGCTCACACTTTTATACAGAGTTATACAGATTTAGTCGAATCCAGACTCTTGCTGTAAAGATTTGCAATCCTGGACAAGTTACTTAGCATTTCTGAGCCTCAGCTGTTAAAGAGTTTCCTCAGCTGTAGAAGAGTACTTACCTCATGTGGCAGATGAACAGAGTAGGACCTAGGTAGAGTGTTTGGGCGTTGCAGGTGCCCAATAAACCTGAATTCTCTCAGCCCCTACAAGAACACAGGTTTCTGATGATAGCGTGTTAATGTGACAGTGAAGGGCCAAAGCCAAGGCACCTTTGCTGCCTCTTACATGAGCCTCTCTAGGGATGCTCAGGCTGTGTCTGTTCTGGCTTTGCTCATTTCTTCTGGAACTGCCTCTCCAATGAGGAGGCTGCCAAGACCTCCTTACTCACCAGTAGGGGGCATATGTGTTGGTACTTGCTAACAGAAATTGCACAAAACTGGGCCCACTACCTCCCTTTGCCTCCTTCCCAGCATTCCTCATGGGCTCCTCTATTCTCAAGGGTCTAAAAGAAGGGTCCTTATATCCTCCAGATTCGCCACTGTCAGATTAAGCACAGGCAGCTCCCACTTCCGGCATTCAAGTCCCGGCGGCTGGTGATCCCTTGACCTTGCTTCAAGCTGAGCCTGAGCCTGCCCCTAGACCCTGGCTGGGAAAACTGTTCACTCCCACAGCTGGCCCACTGCTGAGTTCCCTGGAAAGTTTGGAGCACAGGGCAGTGGGCAGCGGCATCCCACTGAGAACTGCAGAACTCTCAGTGATGACAACTCTGTCCAAACCTTTGAATTAAGAGACTTGAATAGGCTCTAGATCGGCTTTTAGCAGCACAAGGCTGTATCCCTAGGGTGACCCCAGCCCCTTGTAAAGTGCCAGCTTGAGGAAGCTCAGTGCTGCCAGAAAAATTTATTATTTGTTCTAGCCAACACCTGATGATAGGCCCCTGACCTCACTTACTTAGAGCATTTACTCAAAAGGGCTTGCAATTGTAAATATGTATCTCTTGCAACTCAGAAGCATCAGGTCTTCCTTTAAAATGTAGTCATCAAGGGCAGGCATGGTGGCTGACACCTGTAATTCCAGCACTTTGGGAGGCTGAGGCAGCGGATCACTTGAGGCCAGGAGTTTAAACCAGCTTGGGCAGGATGGCAAAACCCTGTCTTTATTATACACACACACACACACGTACACACTCTCACTAAGGACAGCAGCCAGAGAGAAAGCTGGCCTCATTCCATTCACTCTATGAGGCTCTGCTAACACCCTGCCTCCTCCCTTTAAAGCTCCCATATCACCTGTGCACAGAATGGAGCCTGGCTCTTTCCCCTACTGTCAGTAGTTACTGAATAAAGCCTGCTTTCACTGCTTTAACTAACATCTGCTGTTTCTCTTTGATACCACCTGCAGAAGACCCATCTTAGCCTCTGCTCAGTCCTGAAGTGGCTCCTGCCTCCTCTGCTGCTCAATATCAGGCCCATCAGCCTGGTCAAGCCAGCAGCCATGGGACTCTGGGGAGGACCCTAGACCAGAGCACCCATGGGCATGTGTGTTGGAGGAACTGAGTGGGGTGTCAGGCAGGGAATCAGGACACACTGAGGGGGCAAGGAAGCCCTTGGTTTCCTGCAGGCAGGAGCTGAGACAGAGGTGAGGCTTGACAGAGAAAGGCAAGGATAAGAATGTTCTATCACCCCCAGGAAGGTGAAACCTGAATGGAATAGGGGTTGTGTCCAACCTAGGGTGGTGCCTGGCTGTGGCGACACCTCCCGATCCTTTAAGTCCCCACCCTGGGTCTTGCAATGGTTGCCTAATGTTCTCATGACGCTAACTGCAAGCACTTTTGAGAGCTAGAACTTTGTCTCATAAGGCTTGCCTGTACCTGTCACCCTGCGCTGCCCAGGGCTGGGCACACAGGAGGCTGCACAAACACAGCTGACCAGGAGATGGAGGATTACAGAGGAGATTGGAGCACAGGGGCTGGTGGGGACAGGCAGGTGATGGGTCTGAGGGGTTGGGAGGAGCAGTGCAACGAGGGGAAGCCTGAGAAGATGGAGGCAGCAGGGCCCAGGAGAGTGTGCTTGGTGGAGGGGATGGGCCAAACAAGGAGGGGAACACCAGGGACTGGAGGTGATGGGGAGGGACTGTGGCAAAGGACTTCTGAGGCCATGAGTGGGGCTCTCCCCAAGGATGTGGAGGCCAAAAGCTTAAGGGACCAGATGCCTCAAAGACAATGCCAGTGCCTTTGGTGTGGGTAGGAGACAGATGCCTCTGAGACAGTGCCAATGCCTTTGGCGTGGGGTGGTAGGAGATGGGGTGAAGAAAGGAAAGGGCAGCCCTGAGCCCAGACGCCTGCCTGGGTTTGCCCATTGGGCCCAGGCTTCCGTGGGGTCCTCGTAGATGCTCCTCACTCTACGTGCCTAGATCACACCCCACTGTCACTCACATCGCCTCCTCATTTCTCTGGCCTGCCAGAGACCTCCCATCCTACTCATGGGCTCAAAGGGGCCTTCAGGAGCTGGTGGAAACTCCTCCTCAGTGACTTATCCATAACCCTGGAGTCACTGATCCCTCCTCCACCCACCCCTGCACCTATCCCTTTCCTGTTTAATGTAGGCCAGTTGGTCAAAACTCACATCAGTGGGGACACCTGGGGACAGAGGCTCCACAGTCAGCCTCATTTTGACACCCCACAACGCTTGGGCAGTTGTTCTACAAAGAGGAATCTCCGTGTGACATGCATCTCTCAGCCACGTTTGAGTCCACTTCCTTGGAGGAGAGCGGGGCTGGGCGGGGCCTCTCAGGCTGGTCTCTTCTAGGCATTCTCACTGCTTCTCTGCTGTCATTAGTCTCTATTTAAGCCTTCACACTTTCCTCTTACCCTCCCTGCTGGTGGGGTAGGGAAGTTTCTGGTGGTGGGAGCAGCTGCATTAGGACCTGGGAAGGGATGGGGGCAATGGGCCCACTTAGAAGTGTGGGACACAAGGGCCAGATTGGGCCTCAGACTGGAAATTATGACCCCTCTGCTGGAGAGAGAGGCCCAGATTTGCATGCAGCAAATCTCTTCTCTGAGTATCTTAGATGTTTCTCATGGGCTCTCTCTGTGGCCACCCAAGAATGTGGCAGCACTGGCTGCCTATGGGCTAAGGGCAGGGATGAGAAGGAGACTTTTCATTGTGTATCCATCAATACCTTTTGGATTCTGAATCATGTGACTGTGTTACCTCTGAAAAATATAAATTAACAGGCCAGGCGCAGTGGTTTATGCCTGTAATCCTAGCAGTTTGGGAGGCTGAGACTGGCAGATTGCCTAAGTTCAGGAGTTCCGAGACCAGCCTGGGCAAGATGGTGAAACCCCGTCTCTGCTAATACAAAAAATCAGCTGGGTGTGGTGGCAGGAGCCTATAATCCCAGCTACTCAGGAGGCCGAGGCACGAGAATTGCTTGAACCTGGGAGGTTGAGGTGGCTGTGAGCCAAGATCACGCACGCCACTGCACTCCAGCCTGGGCAACAAAGTGAAACTGTTAAAAAAAAAAAAAAAAAAGGATGAATTTATAGTTTTCATATTAGCACTGTAAATTATTTTCCAGGTTTGTTCGTTTCCAGAATAGAAGTAAAACAGTTTACTTGAAATTATTACCAAGAATAATGCTCACTGAGAATCCATTTGGAAAAAATTTTTGAAGGCAATATAGAGTATATACTTTAGTTCAGTATTGCCATCTACTAGGTTATTTTACAGTTTTTTCATGGTTTTGCATGGACAGCACTTATTTCTTCTATTATAGAATACATTTCCTTTTGTATTAAAGGAGGAAGAAGCCAGACGACAGTCAGGAGCTCAGTATGGCTCTTTTCCAGGTATGTTTTTTAAAAAGTTAAAACTGTTTTATTCTGTTATACAGTAATATTTTAATGTAATACTTAAATAATGTTTATTATAAAGTGATATTCTAATTTTGTTCTCTTATACAGTGATATGAAGATACTATAGGTTAAAGAAATGATGGAATTACTAAGCATAAAAATGTTTTGAGTCCAGTATAAAAGTAGCGGACTACTCTTTCAAATATGATCAGATACTGCTAGTGAGGACAGGACTAACATGCAGATAGAAGAGACGGAAGAGGCACGCAGATTTATTGAGTACTTTCTGATTACGGCAATGTGGAATTTATTATCAAGACCAGGATGAGACTTAAGTTTTTGTTTTTTAAACAACTATCTCCTGTTGTTTAATGGTAACTAGCTTTCTTTTAAGGGAAGTTTTTAGAGGCCACGTTTGCTTATATGTCACTGGTTAGAACTTAGTTACATGATATGAGGCTAGAAAATCTGTTCTTTATTCTGAAAGAGTATGTGCACAGCAACTGAAAACATACCTAGAACAAATATTGAGGATGACCTCCTGTTTCAAGAAAAAGTAAGAAATTAAACTTAGCTCATAGTTTACTTCCTGTTTAAAATATAAATAATCTTATTGTTAGATAATCTTTGTTTTAGAAAATGACTGCTAATGTTGGACTAGTGCTAGAGATAATATTCCGTTACGTACATTTTATTTAGATTTGACAAGCCTCGGGTCAGTAATTTTGTTACGGGTAGGCACTAATTTTTCAAAGCATTAAGTAGGAACAGCAAAAGAAGCTAGAAGTTGTTTTATGGTCCACTTAGATTTCTTCCTCTGTGATTGTTAGTTATGAATGGTTGTGTTTTAATTACTGTTAAAGCAGGTAGAAATGACTTTATTATGTGTTTCCTTTATTACGGCTTTACTTATCGTGACTCTTTGTAGAATATATTAATGTTATCTCTTTCCCTTTGTTATTACTATTATTATTATTTTGAAACAGAGTTTCACTCTTGTTGCCCAGGCTGGAGTGCAATGGCATGATCTCTGCTCACTACAACCTCTGCCTCCGGGGTTCAAGGAATTCTCCTGCCTCAGCCTCCCAGGTAGCTGGGACTACAGGCACATGCCACCACGCCCAGCTAATTTTTGTATTTTTAGTAGAGATGGGATTTCACGACGTTGACCAAAATGGTCTCAATCTCTTGACCTTGTGATCTGCCTGTCTCGGCCACCCAAAGTGCTGGGATTACAGGCATGAGCCATGGCGCCTGGCCTCTTTCCCTGTATTATTAATAGTGATTTTAGAATATCTCCAGTGGACATATAGGTTTATGATACTGAAGAACAGAATAGATTATTTGGGTTTATAATCTAACAAATTACAGTGGGAGAATCAAACCTTTTTGCTAGAGCATTATTCTCTGTAAAGAAGCACCAGGAACTTTTGTTAAAAATGCAGGTTTCTGGTTTATTTTATTTGAGATGGAAATGAAAAAGCAACGTATAAACAAGCAGTTTAAGTAGTGGTACCCAACTATACTAGATGAGTATATTTGAAACAAAAACCTAAATTCCTATGAATTAATTTTAAATTGAAACAGACAAGTATTCAAGAATGGAGAGTTGAAAGATAATCAAAACAGCTAACTTTGTAATCTTAGGGAATGTTAGATGACTCTTTAAGGTGAGATTAGTCTTTTTTAACAGCATTATTACTAGAAAAAAGTTGTCAGGTGCAGTGGCTCACACCTGTAATCCCAGCACTTTGGGAGGTCGAGGCGGGCAGATCACCAGAGGTCAGGGGTTCGAGACCAGCCTGGCCAACATGGTGAAACCCCGTTTCTACCAAAAATACAAAAATTAGGTGTGGTGCTACATGCCTGTAGTCCCTGCTACTTGAGAGGCTGAGGCAGAAGAATTGCTTAAACCTGGGAATCAGAGGTTGTTCTTAGCCGAGATGGCACCACTGCACTCTAGCCTGGGCGACAGAGCAAGACTGTTGCAAAACGAACAAAAACAGTATTATTACTAGAAAAAAGTTAATCTAGGAGGTAGCAAATCCTGATTTATAGCCTTGTTTTTTAAGAGATAATTAGAAACTATAACTTGTTTCTTGTTGCAATCTGGTTAGAATTTTCAGACTACTTTGTGCTTAGTGGAACTCTTATTCTTTGAACCCGCACTTTTTGTGGATGAAATACTGTGTCAGAATATTTAGGAGTATGATTAGTGTCTACCCCAGTTCTTTCATTTTTTATTTATTTTATTTTTATTTTTTATTACAGGTGGCTTTCCTGGGGGAATGCCTGGTGGTTTTCCTGGAGGAATGCCCGGAATGGGAGGGGGCATGCCTGGAATGGCCGGAATGCCTGGACTCAATGAAATTCTTAGTGATCCAGAGGTTCTTGCAGCCATGCAGGTAAGACTTGGAAGAAAAACTTTGGACTTTGTATCATTAAGGCAGTTCTTTGATAATTCTGTGTGGAGACAAAGGTTATTCTTGTAGCTATTTATTTATTTATCACAGTTAGCAAATAGCTAATTATGCAGATGTGACATTTGTTTTCTTTATGCAGAGTGAGTAACTTAAATTTTGAAAACTGGGAAATACTTAGTAATAGTTGGCAATTAAATCCAGTTCTTTTCTTTGTATCAAAATTCTATGTGCTTTTTTACATCATGTAGTTCAAATGACATAATTCAGCTTGATTTTGTTACTTCAGGGACTTTTCTAAACCCCATTTAACCCATGACCAAATTATAGGTCTAAATAATAGATGGAATTTAGGATAATAAGCTTACTGACCCAGGAGGACACTTTTAAAAATACTAACAAACCCTTTTTAGGTTTAAATAATAGATGGACTTCAGGATAATAAACTTACCTTGTAAGTAGGACACCTTTTAAATACTAACAAACCCTTTCATTTCAGGATCCAGAAGTTATGGTGGCCTTCCAGGATGTGGCTCAGAACCCAGCAAATATGTCAAAATACCAGAGCAACCCAAAGGTTATGAATCTTATCAGCAAATTGTCAGCCAAATTTGGAGGTCAAGCATAATGCCCTTCTGATAAATAAAGCCTTTGCTGAAGGAAAAGCAACCTAAATCACCTTATGGATGTCACAATAATACAAACCAATGTACCTCTGACCTTCTCATCAAGAGAGCTGGGGTGCTTTGAAGATAATCCCTACTCCTCTCCCCCAAATGCAGCTGAAGCATTTTACAGTGGTTTGACATTAGGGTATTCATTCAGATAATGTTTTCCTACTAGGAATTACAAACTTTAAACACTTTTTAACTTTAAAAATATTTAAAACAAATTTAAAGGGTCTGTTAATTCTTATGTTTTTCTTTACTACTCATTTTGGATTTTTTTTTTTCTTTGAATTGGGCAGGGAAGATACTGAATGTATAGAAGATTTTTGCTCTAATTTGAGTGAAATAAAAGTTTATTAGTGTGAGGCAAACATAACTCATTTGAGGATAAAGTTTGTGTTGGATATGTGGTTCCTAAAGCATTTTTACTTGTCTTCTTAAATGCTTTATCTTTTTCTCTAAAGATTTGTTTCAATAAAACTAATTGGGACCACCACTATTTCAGTAGGACCTGGGTAGAGACTGGAAGTACTTGGCAGGGCAGCAGCAATCTTGCTGTGTTTCATATAACATGCATCCTTGGGCAGGTTGTCCTTAAATCTTACACTGTGGTGAAGGGATGATTTTTTTGTAATGCTGCAGCAGAGTACTTAGTTCTGTTCTTGTCTAGTATAGCTAATAAATGTATCATATTATTTCCACATAGGAGAAATAAGGGAGTACTTTTCTTCTTATATTTCTATGCTTAAAATTCTCTTTCCTAGTCAAAAAATGCCCAACTCTGTGTCTGCTTTCTGCTTGTTAAGGTTTTTCTCCCTGACTTTTCTTGGGCTAAAGACAGGCCTTTTCCACAAGTATCATCACTGCTATCATCATTAACAGCATAATTATGCAAGCATATTTAATGCTGAGTTTAATTTAATATGTAATACATATGGTAATTGTAGGGTAATACCCATAACAACTGTAGTTTCTTACTTGGCCATGAGAATGCTTATTTAAGTTCCACTCTGGCAAAATCTTGTCATATCAAAAGACATTGGAAAGAGGGATTCCCTTTGGTGTTTGGTCTTCTACTTAGAAAATACCTATTGCAGTTAGAGTTTATCTTGTAGTATTCATCTTTGTATTTTGAAGTTAATAAGGTTTGAATTAAATTGATATACAGAGGGGAACCCATTTTTTTTGATCCAATGTAAATTATACATGAGATAATCCACAGTTACTCATTGTGGAATTGTTGAGACTATGAAAGACTCAATTGTCTTTGTATTCAGCTCTAACTTAAATAGTGTAACAATACCCCCACCTCTGCTTGCTTGCTTTCCCTTCCCTCCAATGATAAAGAAAATGAGAAATTTTCTGTTGTGCATTCAATTCTTATTTTAAATAAGACTAAGTATAGGCATTGTACCTGACATTGCTACGTTTCTACCAATGTTTCAACTTAAAGTGCTAGTGTTTAAAAACATTTTCAAGGGATAAGACCTTCCGTACTTTGCTTATTTGAAGAATCAGTGGTAGGAGCAGTGAAGTAAATTCTATGGAGTACATTTCTAAAATAGCACATTTCTGAAATCATAAATAAGTTTATTCAGGTTCTAACCCTTTTGCTGTGCACAAGCAGACAGAAATGCTTCTGTTACGTAAATGAGAAAAAGCTATTATGCTGATAGAGCATGCTTTTAAAATCCTTTAAAAACACTTACCGTATAAACTTGCGTTTGAGCTAGCGTGTTTTATTAATGTGTGTCCTCCTTTCTCAGAATTGCCAGTGTGTACTTGGCTTAACAACAGTTTTTTCTGGATTCCTTATTTGATTTATTTAACCTAATTATGTTCCGATATTGCAAATATTACCATAAGTGGGTAAAAGTAAAATTCCTTTTCTGAAAACGTGTCCTGTGCTTTTAGATTTTTAAATTCCACAATATAAAATACATTATTAATTTTCAACTCAATATTTTAAAATAGAAATGTTTTCTTGTACTAATGATGCTATCAGAAGAATTTTTTTTTTCTGCTTAAAAATATAGTTATATTTCTAGCTATGTTAAAAATACTGTTTTAAACTAGATATTGAGCAGATATGGTGGCTCATGCGTGTAATCCCAGCACTTTGGGAGGCTGAGGTGGGCAGATCATCTGAGGTCAGGAGTTCAAGACCAGCCTGGCCAACATGGCAAAACTCCATCTCTACTAAAAATACAAAAAATTAGCCAGGCATGGTGGTGCACACATGTAATCTCAGCTACTCAGGTGGCTGAGGCAGGAGAATCACTTGAACCCAGAAGG